ATGGGGTCCATGAACTCCTGCTTCTGCGTCGCCAAATAGCACGTCAGCGACCTTCCTTTCTGTGGGCAGCCAGCAGCCACACCTGCCAGCCGACGAAGCTTGAGCATAGCCGTATCTGAGATGCCCGACGCTTTACCACCATGACCAACCGGCGCATAGACACCTGCTCTCCAAAGTAAAGTTGCCTTTGCCCCGGTGCCTTGCCTTAAAGTTCTCAACCTCGGTTCACGTTCAGCTGCATTGTGAAGCCGTCACTTCTCGATCGTGCGCTTGACCTTGCTGCCCATTAACTCATGGCCCACGTTTCGAGCATTAGGTTTCGGCTCCATGCGCAATTGCTGAAACTACATTTCCAAAGCCCGTTGCGCCTCCATGGATGTAGCCACGAAGTGGGGCTTCTTAGCCTGCGCGAACAACCCCAGCTCTTTGGTCATCTTGCACAGGTACGCTGGAGCGTTCCACAGGCCCCCTGCTCTGTCCAAATTTTGACCGACCCGCTGCAGGGGCCGATCATCCATCGGCCCTCGCGGTGTGGTCGACCTGTAGATCCGTCTTGTATCCTTCAAGCTTCGGAGCAACAGTATGTACGCTGAGCAGCGTCGTTGCGTGACTACAACCAGCCTGTATACCCTGAAACACCTGCGCGATACTGGAATGGCTACCACAAGCCTGGATATACCGCGGCTGCGAGCACTGCATGATGATGCACCACGCCAGTCGTAAAGGGGAACCTACGGCTCGAGCTTCTCGCAAGAGGGCCTCGTGGCGGACCGTGATCGCGTGCTGGGCCGTCATCCTAGCAATATCCGCCGTGATGTTCTGCTCGCACGCGCTGTCGGACGACGTCCTGCCACTGCCACTGCCCCAGAAGACGTTGCCCTTGTGCTGCTGCCCCCGCTTCACCGAGATCTCGCGCCTGGCTCGGCCCCACCAGCGCGACATCGTATGTGAGAGGGCCATCGGCCTATGACCCCCGTCGGGTTTACCCACTCGCACCATCTCTGACGCCAGTCTGTTGGTAGGCCAAGCTTCCAGCTGCTCGCACATGTTGAAAACGCCTCCGCCACGCGCGGGATCACGACGAGCGGCGACCTCTGAAGCTCACGAGGATGGACACGAAAGTGGCCCGAGCCAATCTTTTCTGGGAACTTGCCTCGGGGGTGGACAGAACCCCCAACAGTGACACGTCGATTAGTGAATTGTCCGTTTTCGGTTCTCGAGAGGGCGCCGTGGCCGTTGTTTTTCCAGGCTCGCACCCTCCAGGTTTGGGCCTCAGGTCGTTTTCACTAAACCACGTTTTACTAAAGGGGGGTCTGTCCATCCCCGATTGCCTGCAGCCTCTCAAAGATCGCCAGCCGAAGGTGGAGGTAGCTCAGCCCACGAGCCAAAGTCAGCCGGACGCCGAAGAACATCACCACCGTGTTCACGCCATGCATCTAGCCATCTCTGCAAACGCTTCTCCACCCGTGCGAAAGGCTGGGCGCCGTCGCCTGCATCGACCAGCTCTTGAACTTCAGTAACGTTGGAGAACCGAAACGCCGCGCTTTCACCGCCGCTGACAGCTTTCGGGAGCCAGCTCTTCCATCCATCGCGCGCCCCCTTCTGCATCTTAGGGTCCCGCACCCTGGCCTGCTCGACCTGGCCCTCGAAGCCTGGCATCGCAAACGTCCTGTAGCCATAAGCCAGGATACCATGGGCCTCCGCTGACAAGAAACTCCGTGTCCGCCTTGCCTTCCCCATAGCATCGACCAGAGAAGTGAACTCAACGAGCCTGTTGGGCACTTTGTCGATGTTCACGTCGTAGCCCTCGCCAAGCGCCAGAATGGCCTGAGTCCTCATCGAGCGAAGCTGTTGCATCCACCTTGCACACTTTTGCCGAGCCACGTCTTCCTCCGTGCCCTGGCCAGAATGAGGCTCCATCTTGGGTAACTCCAGCTTCTCCTTGACTAGTCGCGGCGTTGGTTCTGCCTGGGCGTAGCTGGCCTTATTGGCACCCGCAATGTCATTCAAACCCAAAACTTCCTCCAAGAGAGCCCCCATCATGACGTCGTCCCACTGCCGGGTAAGCTCATCAACATTCGTCACTGCCTTCATTTCCTCAAGTAAAACTTCCCATCCTTCTGGAGGTCGCGCACGTCCTGCCTTGGCCCTTTTAGGTAGGTACTTGGGCTCCACCAACTTACAGCACCACAGCTCCACGACCTCGCCCTTCAGAAAAACCGTCGCAGGTAGATGAGGGAAAGTCGTGGTCATCCAGCTTGCGTTTGCACTCCCAGTGCGATTGTCCAGCGAAAGCGAAATGCTGAAAAAGTCGATCCTGCTTCCTGGAGTTGAGGTTAAGCACGTTGGGCTCGCACGCACCACCCCGCGAAAAAAAGGTAAGCCACCTTCACGCAACTCCTCGCGAGACATGTTGAAGTCGCCCATCGCCATCCATGGGAGCCCCTTCTCCTCCTATCTCATTCGCATCTTCCGCCACCTTCTTCAGCTTCCGCAGGTT